CACTGAATACATCTGGAATTGACATTCAGTTATGTCAGGCAGTATTTGAAAAGGGAGGCAGGTAATCAGTCTTTGAAAGTGTTTGACAGTTGACATGCAAGGGCATCTTTTAAGAATGGCAATGGATTTCTGCTAAATCTGACCAAAGGTCCAAGTAGTCTAGAATCTTGTCTTCTACAATAGTGAAAGAGATACCCCCCTCCCGGAAGCCCAAAAGCATTGTAAGAAAGCAACGGGCCTTCCCTGTTGCTTGTCCACAGTATCTGGTACTCAGGGATAGACTGCCTCTTACTTGCTTAAAAGGTAAAGGTTCCCTTGCTCGAAAGCCAGTCAAATCCGACTCTAGGGTTGCAGTGCTCATCTCCATTTCAAAGCCGAAGAGCCAGCGCTGTCCGAAGACGTTTCCGTGGTCATGTGGCCGGCATGACTAAACACCAAGGCACACAGAACGCTGTTACCTTCCCACCGAAGTGGTACCTATTTATCTACTTGCAATTTCTTGTTTTCGAACTGTTAGGTTGGCAGGAGCTGGAACTAGAGATGGGAGCTCACTCCATCATGTGGCACCTGGGTCTCGAACTGCTGAACTACTGACCTTCCACATCCTGCAGTTCAGTGTCTTAACCACTTGAGCCACCGCAGCTCTTGTAAGCTTACTTGCTTACAAGAGCATAAATCGCCCAGCAGGACCAGATCAAAGATGTATTGCAGCATTCCCTTACTAGGGTTGCCAACCTCCAGGTGGTGACTAGAGATCTCGGGGGACTACAACTGATCTCCAGGTGACAAGAGATCAGTTCACCTGGAGGAAATGGCCACTTTGGAAGGTGGACTGTATAGCATTATACCCCCTTGAAGTCGCTCCCCTCCCTAAACCCCACCCTCTTCAGGCTCCACCCCCAAATTCTCCAGATATTTCCCAGCCCAGCACTGGCAAACCTGCCTCTTACCTGAAATGGCCAACCACTGGGCTTTTAGAAAGCACCACAATAGGGTGCAAAGTACAAAGTGTTCCTACTGTTATTACCCCTCCCCCCAAGCAACATATTTCATATTTGATTTTGGCAATAATATTCATAATTTTGCTGTATTTGATATGTAATGGTATTGACTGGCTAATGATACTGAAAGAGGATATGCAATATTTGCTTCATTTGTAACCCACCTTTCTTCTCATTGGGGACCCAAAGTGGCTCACAGCATTCTCTGCAACTGCATTTTATCCTCACAACAAACGCATGAGGTACGTTGGGCAGACAGTGTGTGACTGGCACAAGGTCGCCCAGCAAACTTCCATAGGAGAATGGCAATTTGAGCCTGGGTCTCTCAGATCTTAAGAACGCCAGTTTGGTGTAGTTGTTAAGAATCATAGAGTTATAGAGTTGGAAGGGGCCATACAGACCATCAACCTCCTGCCCAATGCAGGACCAGCCTAACGCATCTCTGACAAATATTCATCCAGCCTCTTATTGAAAGTTGTCAGTGAAAGGGAGCTAGCCACCTCCCTAGGCAGCTGATTCCACCCTTGAACCACTCTGACTATGAAAACCTTTTTCCTAATATCCAGCCGATACCTTTCTGAATATAATTTAAACCCATTGCTTCGGGTCCTATCCTCTGCTGCCAAATGGAACAGGTCAGCTCCTTGCCCTTGTAGCGGACTCTAATCTGGAGAACCAAGTTTGATTCCCCACTCCTCCACATGAAGCCAGTTGGGTTCTCTCAGAGCTCTCTCAGCCCCTAAAAACAAGTCTAATTTGCCATGCGCAATTTTAAGAGCTGGAACTTGCAGCTGCCAGACAATCCTTGGATCTCTTAGCTATTCCAAACACAATGCCATGTGATAATAATAATAATAATTATTATTATTATCATTTCTCAGATCAGCACAGCACTGGACCCTCCACACTATGCTGCTTTTTAAAAATGGCAACACTATTTGGTATTTGACATATCTGGACAGCTGATAGTCTGAGATTTCATGACTGGTGCTGGGAAGAAGTTTAAACCATTTGAGTTTTGACCCAAAGGAAATAACTATCAAAATCACATCTGAGAAGGGACCCTGTGCCCTGACCCACAACTTACAGCCTGGGTCCACTGAGCTGGTGTAAGAATACCATCATGAATATCACCTAAGCAACACTGAAATTTCTGCTCTCACACTTTATTTGAACCTTGTTCCCGCACTTTAAGGTATTAATCTTACTTGTTATGGTGTTTTTTGACTGATTTAATTGTATTTATATATGTGTTTTTATGTAAACCACCCTGAGCCTGCTTTGGTGAGGAGGGAGGAGTACCAACTGAATAAATGAATGAATGAATGAATGAATGAAATATAAAAGTAAATCCAACATTTTGCATTTCCAAATTTGTCAAAATTAATGGAAATTTGAGATAGATAGATGACAGACAGACAGACAGACAGACAGACAGACAGATAGATATAGATTCAGTGTTATATAAATCTAAAATCACGCAGATCTGGAAGTCTAGGGTTCGTCCCTTGTTGAAGTGGTAGGTATGTGTGAATCAGCCAATTGAAAGAGAGAAGGGAGTTTCAATGGAAAACCAGGGTTTGAGACTGGGTACAGCAGCAGATTTTTTCCAGGGCCTCTTACATTTATTTATTTAAATATCTATATCCCTCCTTTCCACAATGCCCCAGGTGGCTTACAAAATGAAAGCAGACAGTTATATGACGTAATTGAAACACATAAAATATAAGTTAAAACTTGATAGTATATCTACACTCCAAGTTGGATTGGTTTTAAACCCTGAACCCTCATCTCTCTCTCCCCGCCCCCCAATCCTGGGAATTGTTGTTTGGTGTTCAGAATATATAATATTAAAACAATGAATTCTTTGCATTAAAGAACCTGAGATACCCTCAGACAGCTACAGAGCTCCCTGTGGAAAGGGAAAGGCAGTCACACTTGTGAAAGTCTGAGGTATAGATCCTCTGCCTTTTCTCATGGAGCTTTAAAAAAATCTCTTTGCTCTTTAGCCTTTGTTGAAAAAAGATAAAATAGCTTGCTTGTTGTCACAGGCTTGAGTTCTAGTCAGTCACCATGACTACATGGCAAAGTGAATGGTAATGTTTCTTCATTATTGTGGATGTCCCCTCTATGGACCTTAATGGCAGTCCAGGATGGAGGAGGTGGCTCCTCTCCCACTTGACTGAAGGGAATAGGCAAGATTGCGCGTGTGCGCGCGCGTGTGTGTAAGCATGAGCCAGGGAGAGAGAGAAAATAAAGCAGCTTTGCTTCTATAACTTTTCTGGTCTTCTTTGGATCCACAGAAGAGACCATCCAAAGATAATACATCTATAATAGCACCCGCAAGAAGACAAAAATCCCTAGAAAAGATAATAATGCTAGGAAACGGTGAAGACAGAAGAGGAAGAAGAGGAGGAGGAGAAAATTGGATTTATACCCCGCCTTTTACTACGCAAAGGAATCTCAGAGCAGCTTACAAACTCCTTTCCCTTCCCCTCCCCACAAAAGACACCATGTGAGGTAGGTGGGGCTGAGAGAGCTCTGACAGAAACTGCTCTTTTTCAAGGACAGCTGTGCCAGAACTATGGCTTGCCCAAGGTCATCCAGCAGGTGCAAGTGGAGGAGTGGGGAATCAAACCCGGTTCTCTCAGATTAGAGTCCGCGCACTTAACCACTACACTAAACTGGCTCTTAAGAGGAAGACCCAACATGAGATGGATGGACTCAATCAAGGCAGCCACAGCCCTCAGTTTGCAAGACCGTCCTGAGCAAGGCTGTTAATGATAGGATGTTTCGGAGGTCATTAATCCATGGGGTCACCATAAGTTGGAAGTGACTTGACAGCACTTAACACAATAGCACCCAGATGTCTGCTACACCCGATGTTTAATTTCTCAGGTTAAAGCTACTAGGGTTCGTGCCTTCTATTGATCCCATGCACATTTTATTAATTTTTAAAAATTTATTAAATTAGATTTATTACGCCGCCCTTCCCTGCAAGCAGGGCTCAAGGCAGCTTACATCAGAAGGCAAATACAATAAATAATTAAAATTAAGAACAACGTTAAAATACTCAAAAACATCAACAACATACCAACATATTATCAATCATACCTGAAAGAA